AATAAAATAAAAATAAACAAATTAATAAAATAAAATGTAACTTCTTCAATTTTGCAATCTAAAATGTTTTTGTTTTTTAATCGTTTTTAATTATAAACATGTCAAAAAAAAAACATTTCTTCCAGATAAATACATTTATTAAATATAATAATAAACGAATATGAAATTATTCACATTTACAATAGTGTTTTAATCACATTGTGCCTTATTCTGCAGTAATGTAAGCTACTGGGAACACCTCGAATGTGTGTGATGTCATGAAAATAATGTGAAAACTTGCAATTTAATGTATGCAAAATATTAACTTTTATTTCTTTCATTGCAAAATCGTCTGTAATGCACAACTGACGAAAGCATACTTTAAAAATAAATATACTGTTGATCTCAAATTATTGTTTTAATTGCATTACAGGAGATTACTGACAGCTACCCCCCCCCCACACGCACTCACACACACACTCACACACATACATACATACATACATACATACATACAGACAACGAAATGTCATCAGTTACAGACTACAAATTGCATGCCAAAATGTGTAATTAATATAATCACTCAGGTAACACATTCATGATAAAGTAATCAAAGTACTTTTGGATTACATTTAGATAACTTTTGCTTTAACCTTTGCTCAATTACATGATAAAAGCTAAAATCATTAACATAATCTCTTAATTACACATTTATGGTAAATTAATCTGACTACTTTTGGATTACATTAGGATTACTTTTGTGGTAACCATTATTTGATTGCAAGGTACATACTAAAACCAGTAATATAATCTCTCAGATTAAACATTCATGGTAATCAGACTACTTTTAGATTACATTTAGATTACTTTTGTGCTAACCCTTATTTAATTACATGGTAAAGATTGTAATTAGTAATGTCATTCCTCAGATTACACACACAACTAAAAGTAATCAGTCACAGCTTACAAACTGCATAACAAAATGTCATTCATTCATTTTCTTGTTGGCTTAGTCCCTTTATTAATCCAGGGTCGCCACAGCGGAATGAACCGCCAACTTATCCAGCACATCTTTACGCAGCGGACGCCCTTCCAGCCGCAACCCATCTCTGGGGAAATAACAAAATGTGTAGTGATGAATATAATCTCTCAAATTACACACCTATGGTAAAGTAATCTGACTACTTTTGGATTACACTTAGATTACTTTTGTGGTAACCATTGTTTGACTACAAAGTAAAAACTATAACCAGTAATATAATCTCTCAGATTACACATCTATGGTAATAGGACAAGTTTTGGATTACATTTAGATTACTTTTGCGCTAACCTTTACTAGATTACATGGTAAAAATTGTAACTAGTAATGTAATTTCTCAGATTACACACACAACAAAATGTGTGTTTCAGATTACAAACTGCATGACAAAATGTGCCGTCATTATCATAACCTCTTAGACTACACATTAATGGCCAAGTAATCTGACTACTTCTGGATTACATTAAGATTACTTTTGCCCAAACCCTTTTTTGATTACATGGTAAAGACTAAAATCAGTAATATGATCTCTCAGATGACACATTTAAAGTAATCTGACTACTTTTGGATTACATTTAGATTACTTTTGTGCTAACCCTTATTTGATTACATGGTAAAAATTGCAATCAGTAATATAATCTCTCAGATTACACATTTATGGTAATCGGACTACTTCTGGATTACATTTAGATTACTTTGAGTGAGAAGATTTTTTAAATCATAATATATATAATTTTTTACTTTAACTGTATTTTACTTTAGCTGTGCATCCAAACCAAAGCAGCCGTCATCATGCTGACCCAGGGGTCAAGGGTCCGTCAGTGGTAGTTGTCGGGGGATACGACGGGGAGGGGGACTAGTTAACCCACATCCGGCAAACACACAGACCCCTGACCGAGTGGGCAAACGGGGTGTCTTTACTGAACGCCTGAGTGCAATTAGCATTGATGGCACTTAAAGCATGTGGAAATGAAGGGCAGTTTTGGTATGTTAAAGATGATTGTGAGGATGAAAGGAGGAGAAGTGAATGATAGCGGAGGATAGAGAGAGGGATAATGAGGGATAGAGATGCGGGAGAAACTCTTCAAAGAGCTGCTGTCTTCAGGGTGGCCCAAAGAAAGCCTGACAGGAAGTCCTGCTTGTGGATTAAACTCTGATCTGAGCTGCTAAAGAGAGCAGTCAGGCCTGATGGAGGATCTGTTCTGCTGGTCAGGGCTTTAGCTATTGCATCAAAAACACTGACAAAAATACAGCAAAAATGGAAAAAGAATTGAGATTCAGGATTGATGATTATTGATGAAATATATTGTATAGTGTAATTGATATCTGTGATGAAACAATGATTTTTAAGAATGATTAAATGACTCAATGCTGACTTCACTGTTTATATGTTGCAAGTCTCAGTAGAAGAGAATCTTAAATGCAAGTTATAATGCAATTCTGAGAGAACTGAAAGACAGTTACAACAAAAACAAGCTTATTTGAGCATAAAGAGAGCAGTCAGGCCTGATGGAGGATCTGCTCTGCTGGCCACGGTTCAAACTATTGCATCAAAATACAGAAAAAACTGATATTAAATCATTAAATATTGTACAGTGTAATTTATATCTGTAATGAAAAGCTGGATTTTCAGCATCGATACTCAAAGCCTTAGGATTTTACCTTAAATCTTACCATACCAACTATAGCTCACAATAGTTTATACCTTACAATTCTGAATAAAATAAACAATAAATAAATAAATAAATAATGCAGATAATGCAATTCAGAATTATGAGATGCAACCTCACAATAAAAATGAAATAAATAAGTAAAAAGTGAAATAAACAAATAAATAAATAAAATAATTAAAAATGAAATAAATAAAAAATAAAATAAAAAAATAAATAAGTCAATTCTGAAGAAAAAGTTAAAATTATGTGATGCAAAATCACAATAAAAAATTAAATAAATAAATAAATAATAAAATAAATAATTAAATAATGAAATTCTGAAGAAAAAGTCAGAATTATGAGATGCAAACTCAAAATAAAAAATTATAAAATAAATAAATAAAAAACAATAAAATAAATAAACAAATAAATAAATAAATAATGCAATTCTGGAAAAAAAGTCAGAATTATGAGATGCAAACTCACAATAAAAAATAAATAAATAAATAAATAAATAAATAAATAAAACAATAAAATATATAATAAATAAAATAAATAAATAAAACAATAAAATAAATAAAACAATAAAATAAATAAATAATGCAATTCTGAAGAAAAAGTCAGAATTATGAAATGCAAACTCAAAATAAAAAAAATGTATGAAAATGACAAAATTAAAGAGCAAACAGGCCTGAAGAAGGATCTGTTCAGGTCATCATGGCTGAAAAAATATTCAAAAAACAGCAAAAACTGGAAAAAGAATTGAGATTTAGAATTGATGATTAGTGCTGGAAAATATTGCTTAGTGTCATTTATATCTGTGATGAAAAGATGATGTTTTGAAATGATTAAATCTCACGATACTGACTTTTTAAATCACAACAGTTTATTTGCTGAAATACTCAGTTAAACAAATCAAAAATGCAAGTTATAATGCAATTCTGAGAGAAAGGCAGAACTGGAAGATGCATTATTACAATCACAACAAAAAAGCTCATTTGAGAAAAACAGAGCAGTCAGGCCTGATGGAGGATCTGTTCTGCTGGCCACGGCTCTTATTATTGTAAGAAAAACTGCAATAATTGGAGAAAATATTTCAATTCAGAACAGCTGATTTCTGTGTGAATATGTCATATAGTGTCATTTATATCTGGGATGAAAAGTTGGATTTTCAGCATCGTTGCTCCAATCCACAGTATTTTACTTTAAATTTTACCATACTAACTTTATAACTCACAACTGTTTACATCTTGCAATTCTGAGTAAAATAAATAAATAAATAAACAAATATGTAATGCAGATAATGCAAATCTGAGGAAAAAGTTAGAATTATGAGATGCAAACTCACAATAAAAATACAATAAATAAATAAATAATAAGTAAAATAAATAAATAAATAAATAAAAGGTAAAATAAATAAATAAATAAATAAAAAGTAAAATAAATAAATAAATAAATAAAAAGTAAAATAAATAAATAAATAAATAGTAAAATAAATAAATAAATAAAAAGTAAAATAAATAAATAAATAAATAAAAAGTAAAATAAATAAATAAATAAATAAAAAGTAAAATAAATAAATAAATAAAAAGTAAAATAAAAAGCAAAATAAATAAATAAATAAATAAATAAATAAATAAATAAATAAATAAGACTTTGAGATTATTAAATTATAAATTGAGATTAAAAAGCAATCAGGCCTGAAGAAGGATCCGTTCAGCTTATCATGGCAGAAAAAATACTCAATATACAGCAAAAACTAAAAAAAGAATTGAGATTCAGAATTGATAATTAGTTCTGGAAACTATTGCTGAGTGTCATTTATATCTGTGATGAAAACATGATATTTTGGAATAATTAATTGGCACAAAAGTGACTTTGTAAAATCACAACTGTTTATACGTTAAAAATCTAAGTACAAAATATATGTATATAAATGCAATTTATAATGCCATTCTGACAAAAAGTCAGAATTAGGAGATGTAAACTCACAATAAAATATAAAAAAGAGACATAATTAAGTATAAAGAGAGCAGTCAGGCCTGACTGAGGATCTGTTCTGTCCGCCAAGGCTTTAATTATTGCATTAAAAATACTACAAAAATTAGCAAAAATGGAGAAAAGAATTAAAATTCAGAATTGCTGACTATTATTGGAATGCAATTGTTCAGTGTCAATTATATCTGTGATGAAGAGAAGAATTT